AGATGTTTATTTTCAAAAGTTACCGCTGTGTCGGGTCAGGATGTCCGCTATCCAGTGAAGAGTAATGAACATTTTTAGTACGCCTCAGATAGGTATGTTCTCCTGCTTTTACATGGGTGGCATTGTCCCTTTGAATCAGTTAAGTCTGAGTTGAGTCAGATTACAACAATTTAGCATTGAGTTGAATACAATTTTGTCGCCGTGATTGTTCGTGAATAATGGACAAGTCAATCCGATAAGCTTCCTGAGTCCAGTACTATCCTGCTTCCAGAACGTCAGTAAGTCAAAAGTAGTAAATTAACAGTGATGCTACGTGTTTGTTTCACAGAGGACGTGCCGCTCATCATTCTGCGGTTGCTGGGCGAGGAGGCGGCGGTCGTAGTGGATGCGCACTGCGTGCTGTCGTCAAGGCCTATTATCCAGGAAGGACCCTCTGGAGGCGGCAGCACGTTCAACGTGCTGGTGGAGGGCGCCATGGTGACCAGCGCCACCACTCTGGATGGAGCGCTGCTCCTCCTGGGGATGGTGCATTTATGATTTAATCTGCGAGTGTCACGGGCGGTGCGTTCCACAATGTGGTTTTTGTCGCGACTCATCATGGGCCTGCGCCGGTGGAGTCGACTGCCAAATGCCACAGCTGGCGCTCAGAGAAGTCTCGCTGAGCTGCAGTGAAGTTTCGAGCATCGGGAAGTGATGCGTTGGTTGCGAAGAGAGCGGGGCGTGCACAGACGGCGTGTGTGTTTGTCGGAGTGGAGCTGCAGCAGGAGGGCACAGGGCTAATGCAGGGTGCATTGGTGCATTGAGGCACATGGGCATTGAGCGTGTTTATGTGTTTATTTGTAATCCCAAGCTGGGAATCACATTTTTCATTCATTCTTTATGATTACGTGACTCAACAAGAGGCTGTGAATTGCATTCTTGCAAGTACATTTGAAATAATACATGCCACATTTGTAAGATCCATGTTTATATGTTATGCTTGTATTCCTCATTTTGCCAGTGAGAGTCGCGACCCGGGCATTTTGCGGACTCAAGGGGGAATATCAAGGGTAATAATTGGGGCATTATGAGAGCATGTAATGGGGTATATCGTAAGCATCAATAAAGCATAAAGTGGGATTTTTAGAGGTAGATTAGGAGTGTGATGGGGGCATTATATGGGCATCAAAGGAGAATAGACGCAATTCTGTAAGAATATCTGAAGAATATATGGGGTATTTTAGGGTGCTCGCAGGGGAAGAATCGGGGCATTGTCTGTATTCTCCCTAACTCCCTTGTGGGAATATTTGAAGAATTTTGGCAGAATATTTTGAGGATCATAGAGCGAAAAGGGGAATACTTGAGGTAGAGAACAGGAATATTTGGGGTGTTGTTTTGGACCATTCTCCCATTATCCGTCAAAGGGAATCATTTTTGTTTTCAGTGATCACAAGTCACAACGCATTCGTTTACATTCGTTTTCATCGCCCACTTTTGCTATTTCTTTGCAGTACCCATATGCTGTCCAATGTCCATATTTTTTGTGTTGTGGCCAAATGATTCAATTTATCACCGGCTTCCCGCTTCCGTTCAGGTTCAGTCTGCCGAATGATTCCGAAATATTCTCTATATTTGAAGTCGTCGGTAGACCCTTCGATTATTTAAAAACTTGATTCAAGTAATATTTCAGATAACTTGTCGGCTATTCGACCGTGCTCCTTGCTATCGTCAGTGATCGGTAGTTAGATATAGGATAGGTGCCTCAAGTAATGCCATTTCTTGTTCAACTTTATTTATATTTGCTTTGAGCCACTCCAGAATTCCGTAGAAGATGTGAACAAATATTGAAGCAATATCTAATGAGAAGTAACTTGGAAGAAAAAAAATAATATCAATTCAAAATCCAATAAAACCCACACACGCCAGTAACGTCAACTGTGCTGCGCGGCTTGCTGCCGATTGTTTACATTTTTGGCTTTGGAATGTCATGCTCCCAGCAAAAATCGAGCATTATTAGCAATATTTGTTTAGGTACTCCCTCTTGTATGATCAGCAAATTTAATTCTTATTAGCGTAGCTAGAATTTTTTTTCCATAATATTGTATATCTGAGCATTTAAGCTCGTCGACTTTAAATACGGAAAAATATAGTGACTGCAGGTCCCCGACAAGAAACGATATATGTGTTACGGGCCAAGTGCGAAGGCTAGTCCGTTTGCGAACGGACTAGTCCATTCGCGAATGGACTAGGCCGTTTGCGAATGGCGGTCCGTTCGCAAACGGACTAGTCCGTTTGCGAATGGCCGGCCATTCGCGAATGGCCTAGGCCGTTTGCGAACGGACGGGTTTGTGGCGTTGCACTTAGCCGCCGGAAGCATGGATCCTCGGATTGGGGTACGATTCCAAATGAATGGGGGACCGCTGGTCGATGCAGGGGCGTCGCCGACGGGGGGGTCGGAGGGGTCCGGACCCCCCCCCCCCCCACACACACACATTCTTGAAAATATGCCGGTCCGACGCCCCCCGGCCCCTCCCCCCCCCCCCCCACACACACACACCTTTGGCCACGAAAATCGATCAATAATAAAATAAAATATTTTGAAAACGATTTTGGTGCATTCTCAAAATAAAATTGTCTAAATCCCAGGAGTTTTCAGTATTTGGTGGGGATTACTTTGACTGACCGTCCGACCAGATCCCCTAGTCGAAAATCCGTGGCGACGCCACTGCGTCTATATGTTAAGTTTGTTCTCCGGAGTAGATCTGCGAGCTGGCGCAACTCTGGGTTAAGGTCTCCACACACCTGGTCCATTCGGGATGCGACTTTCCGCTGAACCCTGCACAACGCGGAAATTATAGCAACGTGTTGCCGCTGGCCAGGCTTCGGCCACCGATCTGGATCTGGGGAGGTCAAATATCCCCGTGACCTTCGAACAGCGGAGAGTCGCGTGGTGTGCGGAGACCATTAGTACCGTGCTCCGGGCTCCCCGCTGATGACCCGACCTGACCTTGGTCGAGTTTGTGGCGCTCGATTCATTCTGCTCTGGTGTGGTGTACCGGGACGGTGCGGCTTGTGTGTGGTGAGTGCGGTGCGGTGAGTGTTCGAAAAACTGTTGTGTTGCATTGCATTTAACAATACGCGCACTGCAGGGGGGTTGCTTTCAACCCCCCTGTGGTTTTTCACAGATCACGAGAAAACGGCGGCGCGCAGCAAAGCCAAATTGTGTATACCTTTTCTCCCATATTCTGCGCACATTGTGTGAAAATGCTGACTCCAGATGACCTAAGGTCAGGTCACCAGGCCAGGTTAAGTGACGCCGGTTGAGTTACCAATACTTTGCACGCATCATTTCACACGGGACTTTGCACATGCCAAGTTGACTTGCCAAGTTGACGTCACTTTGCTGGATATTTCGCACTTGGCCTGACTTCGCACTTGGACTGGGAGCATAAACGCCCGTCCATTCGCAAACGGCCTAGGCCAACTGCAATAACGCACATGGACTAGTCCATTCGCAAACGGCCTAGTCCAAGTGCGTTATCGCACTTGGACTAGGCCATTCGCGAATGGACTAGCCTTCGCACTTGGCCCGCAACATATGCATGCGCGCCGGTGGCTCTCAAAGTACGTAAAGCGGGCGTATTGAATATATTCCTGTGGCGAAACCGAATAGTATTATCGTCGTACTTTGTCGGTGTACTTTTCCAAAGTACACCAATAATATATTCACTTGGTGAAATCGGGCCCTGGTCGCGTTATAAACAGACCCCACCAGGGCGCGGGTTAGTTGCTTTATAAAAAGTTACGCGGTTTCTGGCTTAATGTAGTCATTGTATCGACCCATACGTATATATTAAGTATGTTTTGAGAGACCATACTGTATGATATGCTAGGCGTGGTTTACATATAAAGTACCTATATATTCTGCACTATAATTGTTGTAAGGCCTTTACAAGTGACTATAATTGTTCTACATATAGAACAAAGGTACCTTGAACCTGCTATACTTGTATTGTTTATCCCTCGCCCAGCGATAGTGCATACAGCCACTGTGCCTGCGACGATAAGCGTTGTATAATGGTGTATCCTGGACCGGCGGATAGTGCCTGCACAGCCCGTGTATCAGTGGTATCTTCAAAGCTCATCATTAGCCCAGCATCGTTCCGAGCTGACCAGGCCTGCTGGGGCTCGGGATCGATCTGAGCTGGTGATAGGACCTGCTGACTGCGCCGCGTCCCGGTGGACCGGTCCGAGGCGCAGACGGCCGCCGTGGCGATGTGTTCCTCCGGCTCCTGGGCGCGCAGCCCGCTCCCGGCCGGCGGCAGCGAGCGCGCGCCGATCGCTGCCGCCGAGAGCGTCGGCGCCGACGGCACTGGTGTCGACATCGACACCACTCCAGTCGACAGCCGGCCTCCGCCGACGGGCGGCCGCGCAGCGCGCCTCGCCGGCTCCGACGGACGCCGACAGACGGTGGCGGGCTACGGATAGCCAGTGACGGGTTACGGACAGTCGACGAAGTTACGAATAGCGCATCGGCGAAGTTACGGATAGCGCATCGACGAAGTTACGGATAGCGCAGTGACGAAGTTACGGATAGCGCAGTGACGGGTTACGGACAGTCGGCGAAGTTACGGATAGCGCATCGGCGAAGTTACGGATAGCGCATCGACGAAGTTACGGATAGCGCAGTGACGGGTTACGGACAGTCGGCGAAGTTACGGATAGCGCATCGGCGAAGTTACGGATAGCGCATCGACGAAGTTACGGATAGCGCAGTGACGAGTCGTAGACAGCCAGTGAGGACCTGCCATCGACGATTACACAAGTGGTAAGGAACGTGCAGCTAGCGAATTGTGGCAGCTATACGGACAGCCAGTGACGAATTATACGGACAGCTGGTGACGGGTTATACGGACAGTCGGTGACGGGTTATAGGACAGCCGGTGACTGTCTGCTACTGGCCCAACTGTGACAAACCACCGGCCGAATTGGGCCACGGACCACTGACAGAACCGTAACAGACCAGTAGCCGAACTGTGGTATCATTTTCAGAACTGTGACGGACTGCTTGCCGAACTGTGACGGACCTTCACAGTCGAGCTGTGAGACACACGTTCTGTCCCGCCAGCTCCGTATCGTGCTCGGCACCAATCTGTAAGGTGCTCAGTAGCTCTGTTCTCGTATTGAGCTGTGCCAGATCGCCGACAGATAGTGTCACTGCGGACCCCGCGGCACCGTTTTCGTCGAGTGCCTCCGGCAGACGTCGGCCGCTCTGAAGGTCAGACTGTCGGCGACGACGGCGGAGTTCCGGAGCTTCGAACGACAGTGGCGAGGTGATTGTTCCCAGTGACGGTGATGGGCTCCCGGCCCGGCGTCTGAGGCGTGCTCGTGACCGGGCGGAGGGGAGGAGTCCGCCGCTGAAAGGGACGCTGCAGACGGGGCGAGGTGGAGGTGGCTGTCCTCAGCTTCCGAGGGCCACAAGAGAGGAGTGTATTCTGCTCTCCTTGCACAGTTGCCCTGTCTGAGAGCTGAGCGGCCGACGCTGCTAGCCGGACCTATCGCACCGGTAAGTTCACAGTTCACAAACACGCCCAGCCGATCGATCAAGGACGATCGCTATGAAATCACTGCCTGCATGCATAGTTATGAATGGTTTAACCCTATTCCTGGCGGGGGGGCCTCAGGAGCCCCCCCCCCCCCCTGAGGTTTTTTGGTTATTTCTCCCAAACGCGTTGAGCTAGGAAGCTCAAATTTTCTGATTTTCCTAAAAGGCTTCTACGCAACATGTCTGAAAATTTTGAGTTGATCTGACCTCAGGTCAGGTCACCAGAGGCGGTTTGGTGACCCTACCTCAGAAAAGTTTGCAATCACGCCAGAGCTAGAGTTTTTGACCGATCAATTTCTTCTCTTCAGGCTTTAGTTAGGGTACCAGTATGTGCAATTTGTATATCTCGGAATTTTGATATCGGTGACCTAAGGTCAGGTCAGTTTCGCGACCTCCCCATTATAAGTCAATGGGGGAAAAATCAACTCCCTGTTTTTACCACTAAAACGGGTCGGAATGGCCCCATATACCATACATGACTTCATATACGATCAACCTTCACTACCTTGAGGTCTGTTTTGCTGTTGGGTAGCTGTGAGGTCATGTGACGTCATCAAAGGTCACCAAAGGTTTTTGGCCAATAACTCCGTACAGGAACAAGATACAGACGCGTGGATGGTCTCATTGTGTTCAGCTCGTCAAGACGCATCGAATGATATACATGATGACCTCGAGGTCACGTGACCTGAGGTCAACCTTTGACCTTGTCCTTTCGAGGTCAACATATATATCATTCGATGCGGATTGACGAGAGGATCACGATGATGCCCTTAGTTTGTTCCTATCTTGACTAATTCGAAAGTTATTCGAGAAAAACTCTCTCCATATCTAGCGCCGCCATTTTGAGTTTTTCGACCCCTGTGACGTCATCTTTGACCTGACCTGAAAATGACCTTAGTAAAAATTGTAGATCTTGACCGTGCGTATCCGATGCCGTTTACCGCTTGTCGCTATCTTGCTTCGTTCTCGAGATCTCAGGGGGGGCCGAATCGGCCCCCCCCCCCCCCCCGCCAGTTTCTTGTCCCGGCGGAGCCCGCCAGGAATAGGGTTAAGTGCGGATTTTATGTGTCTTTGGAGAAGTATGTACTCGATAGTGATCACTGGCTATATTGCGCACTGGTGAAGCCTTATGTGTGTCTGCTCAACACTTGCTATGCAAATTGCATTCCTATTGCGCTGCTGACCTCAGTAGGTCTCGGGACGGATCGCTGCATTCGGACATGCCAGATGTCACGTCCAGCGGGGCATATGACGTCACAGAATGATTGATTTATTTTTTTGCTAACGGAAGCTGGTAAGAGTCGTTCTGTTATGCAAGCGTTCGCAAAAAGTAGCCCAAGGGAGAGATGGGTGCGTTCGCGGGTTATGGAAAACGCTGTCCCAGTGCGGGAAAACATTCCTACCCGTTGGTTGATTGGATGCATATGACAATCTGACAGGTCCAATGATAGCAGATTGTGGGAATCAGGTGCTGGCAAAAATAACTGTCCGATAATGCTTTGTCTTGCACATCGCATGTTGACGATTTATGTCCGAGGCATGGCGTAGAAGCCGTTGACAGCACTGAAAACCAAAACGATTCTCTATTCCCTTTGATCATGGTGTGTCATGCTCCTATAACTCTGCCGTTTTCCTGGCGGAATGCCCTTAAGATACTCAAATGATTCCTCAAATGATTCCTTTTAAGCATATCAGGGGTTTTGGTCTAAAACAACACCCTGATCATTTTCTTCGAACATACCCAAACTATACCCTCATTCTTTAAATTCCTCCCTTGAATTCTTCTAATATACCCTAGTGTACAGTCTCTGCCGCTACTGTCAGATACCGTACCTGTGCCGCTCGGCGCCTCCGGCGGTGACCGGTCGGCGGGCCGGGACTGGCCGGCCGGGCGGGCGAGAAGGACGGGCAGTCGCTCTCTGGACGTGTTGCTGACCACTAACCCGCGCCCCGCTGGGCTATTCAGCCATACGCGCCCTGCTGGGGATAGAACCTTAACCCTCGTTTTGGATGTGTTACGATATATAAAGGGAAATCGGACGAGGGAGCTGAGAGTAATGAGACAGTTTCTGAGCAAGTTCTACGACGAATATACCTATAGGGCATTATTATTTTCCCTTCTGGGTTTATGTGGGGTCTAATGCAAGAATACATTGAGATCAGTGATGGAAATCACACAGGGACGTAGCCAAGGGGGGGCGGAGGGGGCGCCCGCCCCTCCCTTGGGGTTTTCAGGAGGCCCCCCGAAAGGATTCAGGCCAACGTGGGCCGAAGGCCCACGTTGGCCAAAATCACGTCGGAGGCGAACGAAATTCACCCGGGAATCTAAAAAAATGACGTCAGAACAATCAGGGCCCTCTGACCAGCCTGACAAGTGACAGCTAGGGCCCTTCTCATCTCCTGTGAATAACCACTAGTGTCTGTGTCTGACCGCTAAGGCCCCTCTGACTCCTCAGTAGAGAGGAGGCCCTCTGTGGGTAGGAGGCCCTGTGTAGAGAGGAGGCCCCCTTAGAGAGGAGACCCCCTGTAGAGAGGAGGCCCTCTGCAAAAAGGAGGCCATCTGTAAAAAGAGGCCCTCTGTAAAATAGAGGCACTCTGTAAAAAGGAGGCCCTCTGTAGAGAGGAGATCGTCTGAAGAGAGGAGGCCCTCTGTAGAGGAGGACTCCCTCAGTAGAAAGGAGGTCCTCTGTAGGTAGGAGGCCCTCAGTAGAGTGAAGGCCCTCTGAAGAGAGGAGGCCCTTTGCAGAGATGAGGTCCTCGGTATAGAGGAGGTCCTGTGTAGAGACGAGACTCTGAAGAGAGGAGGCCCTATATAGATAGGAAGCCCTCTGTAGAGAGGAGGTCCATGTAGAGACTAGAGCGGAGGCCCTCTGTAGAGAGGATGCCCTCTGTAGAGAGGATGCCCTCTGTAGAGAGGATGCCCTCTGTAAAGGAGGCCCTCTGGAGAGAAAGACACCCTCAGCAGAGAGGAGGCCCTCTGTAGATAAGAGGCAATCTGTAGAGAGGAAGCCCTCTGTGGCTGTGTTGGTATTTTTACGATGGATGCAATTACCCAAACCATTTATCAGACCGTGGTGATATTCCCATAGCCATGCTTCGCACAACTCATAATAATCTATTTGACCGGGAAATTAATATATACCTATCCATCGATTGTTTGTTTCATCTACGGCGTAAATGAAGCAAACCACCTGGACCATAGGAAAATTTACTAACGAAACCATATTTTACTTACAGCAAGTATACGTGGCATCATTCACACATAAAACATTGATAACCGTACAGTTTCAATCTTGCAGACGTCAGTCAGGTCAGAATCGTGACAAGCCTATTGGAAAATATAATGAACTGTGTCCTGCTTCGAGAAAACGAGTCAAAACCACCCAATTCTTTCTGAATTAGGTACGTCAGGTCAGATTATCTGATCTGTAAGCACCCAGGTGGCATTTACTGACGGGCACCGGGAAGGATCATCTGAGGTGAGGTGAGGTCATGACGTCATGACATCAACAGTTTTTAGCCAATAAATCACGACATGATGGGGCTAGATAGTTGTTAGTGTACCAAACCGTTCGCCTGGTCATGACGCGCCGATTGGTACCCAGCGTGACCTTCCTAGGTCAGATTTTGAAGTTGAACTATCTATGTAGGTCGTTATAAACCATGTTATTTGTTATGACCTCTGGCGAACTCAATATTGACCTGACCCAAAAAAGTTGTTTACAAAAGTTGTAAGTCGTTCAACGAACTATCAAACGCCGTTGCCGTTTGTCGCTACGATTCGTGCTTTTCGAGTTCTGACGGGGGCCAAAAAGGCCCCCGCCCGATTCAGAGTCTTTCAGAGCCCGCCCGGAATACGGTTAAGCGCTTGAACGATATATGATAATACACCAAGTGTCAGGTACTCTGACCGTCATCCAGTATCCATCAATTCCTCGCAGATCCTCTCCCCCCCCCCCCCCCCCCTCCTGCTGCGGTCCGGCCGCCGCCGCCGCCGCCGCCGGCGCCCGAGGTTTTTTTTTTTTTTTTTGCCAGTTACCATGCCACTGGGAGACTTGTGATATGCGTATGTTTCTTACCGCGACAGCGGTAAGAATAAAGAAACATACCAGTGCGCTGGCCATATGAAAGCTGAACAAAAGTCTGCATTATGTTGTATATGTAATTATGTAGGCATGAGACCCTCTATAGAAAGGAGGCCCCTTTAGGGAGGAGGCCCTCTGTAGAAAGGAGGCCCCCGGGATTCCTCCGCCCCTCCCTTGGCCAAATTCTAGCTACGTGCCTGAAATCACAGAATAATACGGGAGTGTTACGTGGTATAATGCGAGTATAGTTTGCAAAATATTCCCCTTATACGCTTAGAAGGAATACTAGAGGTTTCGATGTAAGGGTATTTTGGTAGGTTAAAAGGAGTGTACTGTGGGTATCGCAGGGAATAGAACAGGAATCATATTCCTTTCCTCTTCGGTACTTACTAGGGTATTTTAGAAGAATTCAAGGGAGCTATTTAAAGAACAAGGGTATAGTTTGGGTATATTCGAAGAAATGATCAGGGTGTTGTTTTAGACCAAAACCCCTAATATGCTCAAAAGGAATCAAAAAGGTTCTCAGTGTAGGGTATATTAGAAGAATTTCAGAGTGATATTCAAAGAAAGTGTATTTGGGGTATATTCGGAGAAATGATCAGGGTGTTGTTTTAGACCAATTCCCCTAATATGCTTAAAAGGAATCAAAACAGCTCTCAGTGAGGGTGATGCGCCACTTTCGTCCTCCGGATTAAGCGAATATAAAATCAATTTAGGTATATTGAGGGCCGAAATGCATTAGGGAGATGTAAACAAAAGGGGTGGAGCTGCAAGCATTGAATTATCGAAATCCGTAGCCGGTAGCTCATGGTATATGACGCGGTAATCGGACAAATGCACCAACGTGGCGGAAGTGTTGGTCATTTCGTAATTCTA